AATCTACGCTTTTACTGTATTTATCTATGTGTTATCTCTGCATGCTGTAGCGTTCGTTAGAGATATACACATGCACATATATGTCGTCACGAACCTACTGATATTATTTTTTTGGATTAAACTGATAATGAAAATGTCTAATTATCTGACAGAATCAGCTCAGGACTGATGGATTCGTAGCATGACAAAGGGAAACTTGTTTATTTTTGGACCTTCTTGGTTATTACCTAGGCGATCTGCACGTCACGTCGCAGCGAGCTTGATCGCATTCTTCCGGAACCCATGGATTTGTCGTGCTCCCTTCCACTCCAGCATGCCGTTATATGTTCCGGCTGAGGCTCATGCATCCACGTACGTAGCATCCTGCCAAACTGAAGAACATTAATTGCGGCCACCATCAGGTCACTTGAGGTTAATCAGGAACGAGTTCGTGGATCCGATCCACTGGCTGCGGCTAAGGCCATCTCAGGATTCCTAATCAGTTATATATCTAGTAGACCTTTGTTTGATATTAATATTGTTTTCCAGACGTACTGTATTATGTGTTTATAATCACTGCATACGACTACATCACTATGGAGCATGCTGGGCGGTATCAGTATCAGTTTTATCTTAGGATAACAAAAATACGGGGACTGGACCAGTAGAACTAGATGAGTGATGGTGGCCGTCATGAATCATGACTCGGGCGAGTGGATTACGACGTTTTTTTTTCCGAGAACATGATTGGCACTTGTTTCATTAAGAAGGAAACAGAAGTTTTACAGGTTCCGTGGACAAATTACAGCGAGTAGCCGTATCCTGCCAGGGGAGCAGTGCCGGTCCAAGGATTCTAAGTGCTCTCTGGCGATCTCGTGGTAACAGCTCCTCTCGATCAGGTATAAAATCTTATAATATATAGGCATTAATTTTACTTGCAAAACGAAAGCAAATTTAATAACATATTTTTAATTTAACATGTTTGATAATTATCGAGAAACAATATAGATTAAGCAATATATTTGTAGATATATGATAATTATTGAGGAAGAATGTAGATTAAAAAAGTAATATATTCGTTTTCTTTTCTCACCCATGACAAATGTTTGTTAGGTAACATTCTAAAATTCTAACACCTAAATTAGAAGAAAAATATGACTATATGGGTACAAAGTACTAGAAGTCTGGAATACTATACAAATAATTAATTTTGATTAAAAAGAAAAAGAAAAAAATACCTTGGGCCTAAACAACGGATCGGTGATCGTAATTCGTAAGAAGCCAAGAATCAAGATGTTGTCGTCGTGGAGCCCTGTCTGGTATCCGTCCTCGTGCGCCGTGTCCGTGTCTCCGATAGTCTAGCTCTTCGCGGCGACGTGGCTCGTTAGCTCTGCGTGTGTAAGGCGCACGTCGCGAACTCATGATCAGAGTGTGCTGTGTGCAGCGTGACTCCTTGCCTCCTCTCTACCCGAGGGCCGTAGGAAAAGAAAACTAGAAAAGAAATGACGATGTTGTCTTTTTGGGCCACCTGGCCAGTTCTATGTCTCTCTTCTCATTAGTTTGTTAATGCCTAATAAACTATAGGATATGGGGTTTGTATACCTGGGTTTGGGCCCTCGGCCGTCGCACCTCGTGCCCACCCCTAGGGCCAGCACTGCATGGGAGAACAGCCAAGCGCACATGACTTATTTACAAAACGAGATTTTGCGACGGCAGTCCACACTTAAGACTAGCTGCTTACGCACGTGCGCTAAACACACGTGATTTATAGCTGATCAGTACATGCTCCGTTGGGGAAGGCAGTAACGCCCAAGCTGAGTTAGGATTTGTTCGCCGAAGCCACTCCCACCTCAGACGAAGAGCGAATCCTAGCACCCTGAGTTACGATGCCCATTTGTGTCCCTCTAACACCTCGCACGCACTGATGAGTGATGCCATGATGGGTGCTGGGCGAGTAGGGCTGGCTTTGTTTCTTTTTATTAGTACAAGGTAAATGCCCGTACCTTTCAACGGGGAAAAATAATATCACCATAATTTAGGTACAAACGCGTGTTATACTATTATCTTAAAAAAATACTTCGAGCATGACATTCGCAACATCTATATTGCAAGTTGTGTAAACTGCCATTGAGGACGCCCTAAGAGCTGGGTTCACTAATTAATCTCTAGATAGATCCCAAGCCTATAGGCCATACTAAAGCTTTACATAACCTGTACAAACCTTAATTCAACCAATTAACAAGCCACTGCATAGAACCGGATGAATTTCGTGCGCCAAAACTCGAGGTCAGGCCAACACTTAAAATCTGGAATCGAGTCAGCGACTCCAGTCAGAGTACACCCATCTAAACCCCGTAGGTACGGTCAAGCTAGCCATTCCTGTTACTGTCCAACCAGTGATGAAACCATCCTGTAATCTGTACCAAGGTTGTGGCTCAATACATAATCTTCAGCTTTGATTAGGATCAGTCGGTGATTTTCTGAACGAAGTCGTGAGAAAATATAGGAAGGGAAATCGTTGGCTTTCCAAGGTCCAGGTTTGGAAAACTGATCTTCAGCTTTGGTATGCGGTAGAGTATTGTTCCTAATTATCTAAACCGCATATTATTTCAACAAAAGCTAAAGCTTACATGTTCCGTAGCAAAAAAAGCATAAAAGCTTATTCATTATTTATTTAAACAGCATCCACTTTTTGCACACCACGGCATCTCCTTGGAACAGGTCCAATGGAAATGGTGGTCCATGGATTGGAATGAAACGAACCGGGATAAGATCGGATCAATTCTGTAGCAGTAGCCCCGGTGCAGCTACAAAGAACCTATTGCTCGTCCAGCGGCATCTCCTCGGAGAGCATGCATGACCGATATTATTATCTAATGAAACGCATTTTATTTCCAAGAAACCTGAATAAAAGCTGATTATTTTGATTGCATTCATCGGTAGGATGCCACGCGGGGCCTATCAGGACACTACCGATGAAGGCTAACACTCTTAGTGGTCCTAGTACAAATACAGTGATCCACAGACTAGAAAATGTTGAGACTGCTATTTACACAATACAAACTATCACTATTTATGGTTTGCATAAAACTTTTTGTTTTCATCATGCCTCACGTTTATTTTCTCTCCCTCTTCTTTTTTAGCATGGATCACCTTCTCTCTCTAAATGTATGTAGCTTCTATAAGCCACTATGACAAATATAGATCACCTACTTTTTTTATCCGATCCTACATGACACTTGGAGCTACAAACAAAAGCGTAGCATTGGGGAATGCCTCATTAAAACATGTCCGACGGGAAAAGTGGTGGATGAAAGGAAACAAAAGGGAATAGGATAGGATCCAATTCTTCTGTAGTAGTGGCCCAGAAGCTATACAAAAGGCAAAACTAGTGCTCCTCCACATCATCGGCATTAAGGATGAAAACGGAACGGAAATATCCCCAACCGAACCGCATCGTTTTCTATATTTAATCCGATCGAATCCATATTTTCTTATTCGACTTTATCGTTTTCGCTTTCGCATTTCAGATGTTTCGTATTTCAAATGTAAAAGTAGAAAACGGTTTAGACATTTTTCGACCGTTTTCTACTTTTCTATTTTTAATTTGAAATATTCCGAATTCAAAATTCGGTTCAAACTGAATTTGGCCAACTGCATAGGTCATACAGCCCAATTATAGGCTGCTCACCACTCAGCTGCGTTCTTTCTACTGGTGGCCAGCTGCCCTCTCTTATAGACGGCGCCCAGCCTCATCTACACGAATGCCCACCTGGGCCATAGCCCATCAAGCTCATCGGTTCAACCCCCACCTGCGAAGTCAATCATTTGATAGTTTTTGACTCAGCCGAATAAATCTTTGTTAGTCAAAAGAATAATCTAAATAAATCTTTAAAATAAAATACTACATCTATTCCAAAAAATTAATAAAATTATCCTGACTCAATTCGAGTTCATCGTTTCTATAACATCTAATTTTAGTTCAGATTCTAAAATGGTATGCTAGTTGCTATATCTAATTTTAATTCCTATTATCCTGCTAGCTACTAATTGCTTGTTCTAGACTTGTATTTATGTGTCGGCTATTGTGTTAAATACCTAAGACCAAGGATCATACACTTGTTAATTATTATATGCACTTGAACTTGATCATGTATGTACTTAGTCATGCACTTGGTCCTATGGGTCAGTATTCCGTATTGAGTTTTCGTATATCGACCGTGTTCGACATAAATCCGCTCGAATTGGTTCGTTTTCGGATGTCTCAATATTTCGTAAGTTCGCGTTCGTTTTCGTGTCCGGCTTTACTGTTTTCGCTTTCGTTTTCGTATTTCAAATGTAGAAGTAGAAAACAATTTAGGAGTTTTTCGACCGTTTCCGACCGTTTTCATCCTTAATCGGCATGTCCTCGGCCCAGAGCATCTCCCTTGCCTTTCACAGAGCATCTCCTTTTTCCATTTTCTCTGCATTGGTGGAGAACCGCATCAGCCTCCACTCACAAGTAAGGATGAAAACGGATAGGATACGGACGGATATCACCGATATTATATTTGTTTTCATATTTTTGTCCGGATTCGGATTCGAATACGGACAGTGTCAACTATGTCGGATAGGATACGATTGGATATCGACATTATAAATATGCGATTTGAGTGTTCGGATATGGATACGGTATTGGATGTTGGATATCCGAACTCGGATACGGACAGATCTCAACCCCTCTAAACAGATTCGATTTCGAATACGGTCGGAAAATATCCGTACCGTTTTCATCCCTACTCACAGGCAGTCAGGGACCAGCTTCCCTCTTCCAATTTCCATGTGGGTCCTGGGCCTCCTGGGCAAACCGATGCCAGTGCTATTGCATTTCCTTTATTCCAGCAAGAATCGAACACCCACTAGGACTCTAGCAGAGAGAGGTGCTCTAAGAGATCGACTTATATGTTTGTCAGCTTCGTTCGTTGTTCCTCTGCGCACACCATTCTTCGCGCACCAACCGTGAGCTCTTCAGCTAGCTAGCCATGGCGGAAGCAGTAGCTGGCTTGCTCACGTCCGCTTTCGTCAATATCGCGAAAGATAAGCTGGGCTCTGCCATCGGCCGGGAGCAGGCTAATTTGCTCTGGAACTTTGGTGGCGACTTGGAGGAGAAGAAGGATGCCTTGGAGACCATCTCAGCTGTGCTTGAGGATGCTGAGAGGCGGTCAGGCAAGGAGAAACTGGTGCAGCTATGTCTGAAGCAGCTCAAGGATATCGCCTTAGACATCTCCGACGTGCTCGAAGATTACCAAGACACGACTGACCAAGCAGCTGCAACGGTACGTTGTGTTACATTCTAACATGTTTGCAAATCACATATTGGCACCGTGCTTTATGTTTAAGAGGTAGTAGGAGAAATATCTATACCTACATGCTATGGCACTCCGAAATGACCGTGGACCACTCATATATAGATGACTATTATTACATATAGGAGAAATATATATACGTATATTTTATCGAGAAATAGAAAGATCAGAAAAATATTAGGCTACACTATGTAAAAAGTATTCTCTTTTATTGTTTTTTCTCTTCTTTTTCTTTAATTCACCTATTTTACCTTCGAGCTTACGGTGTCTAGAACAGGGGCAAATAATGTGCGTGGCTCCAGATTCAGAAAAAATGTGTAAAATCATAGAATTGAATAAACAAGGGTAAAATCACATTTGTCCTTCAAAGCAGGGGGCCGGTAAGAACATCAATTCGCCAAAATTGGTTTACAAAATTTAAAGCAATCGGCAACCAAAAACAATATTTATTACTATTTTGTAGGCGACAGTATGTAGGGATATTATACTTTGATGCTTATTTACTAGAGGATTTGAAGTATCTATCATGTTCCTATTTTAGTTTCTAGTAATTGAATAGGTTATATTCCATATAATTTTTATGCATGTTTGCTTAGTCTTGGTTAAATGAGAAATAAATCAAATTCTTGCAGATGCCAGGACTTCTCTCATGTCTCCCGGTGGCATACAAGAAGATTGCCATGGCCAATAGGATGAAGAGTCTAAGAGAAAAACTGACAAAAATTAGAAATGAAATTGATAACTTCAACTTTATAAGGGGCAGTAGCACTACTAAAGAGCAGCCTTATGATGAACGTGAAACAACATCAAATTTGCCTGAGGAACCATTGATAAGAAGGGACGGAGAAAAGCAGGAAATCATAAAGCTGTTATCTACAAATACCAACAACAATGAGATAGTGATTGTTCCTATCTATGGCCTTGGTGGGATGGGTAAGAGTAATTTGGCACAACTAGTTTACAATGATGAAAGTTTCAAGAAGTATGATCATCGTATATGGGTTTATGTGTCCCAAGATTTCAATTTGAACAAAATAGGAAGCTCTATAATTTCTCAATTACCAACAGAAGGAGGTCAGCAAAATATTGGAATACAACAGGTGATAAAACAATGCCTTGATAACCTACTCCAAGGCAAGGAGGTTTTGATTGTTTTAAATGACTTATGGGAGGAAAAGGAGACCGAGTTGGCTAAACTGAGAAGGATGCTTCATGTCAAGGGCAGTAAGGTAGGTGTCATAGTAACTACACGCAAGGAAGAGATTGCAAGAAAAGTTTCAACCAGCGAACCATACAAGCTACGACCTTTTGAAGATGCTATATGTTGGGAAATAATTAAGAGATCTAGTAGGTTTGAACTGAAATCTAACAAAGAAAGAATAGAGGAAATAGGATTGGATATTGCAAAGAAATGTGGAGGTGTGGCATTAGCAGCTCAAGCAATTGGATTCATGCTATGATCCATAGATGATCTATCTGGATGGACAAAAATAAATAGCAGTGATATCTGGAATGGATCTTCTGAAGATAGTGACATGCTTCCTTCCTTGAAATTAATTTATGAAAGGATGCCACCACAACTAAGGATATGCTTTTCCTTTTGTGCCATATTTCCCAAAGGCTACAATATTATTGAGGATGATTTGGTTCAACAGTGGGTTGCTCTAGGTTTCATCAAGCAATCAGAGGGGAAAGAATATTTTAACAAACTTTTGGGAATTTCCTTCCTTCAAGTTTCGAAGTTGCAGTCGGTATGCTCCAATACGTACAATTGCCTAAACAATATGTTTTCTTGCTTATTATGTGTAAGTTCTCATACTCGTTTTTTGAATATTGTGTATCATCATGCATTCATATAGGCATGTTGGATGCATAACAAATGTGATTTATGGTTATTATCTATAATTAATGCTTGTAATTTATGGTTATTTAAATATTTTCCAAATAAAAGATTTTGACAATTTGTATGTAGATTTGAGAGGAAATTTTAGTTTTTGTAATAATAGTAGAAGTGATTGTTTATTTACAAATTTAAGAGTTTAAGTATAGATTATCAATCATAAGAGCAAGCATGTAACTATATGCAAATTTGGATGGATAATTTAATTAAATACAAATTGACTGGTCAATTTTTAGATGCAAATTATCTCTCACCTTAAGGGGTTACTTTGCATTATCGTTCATAATGACAGAGGTGGGTAATTTATATGAAAAATATTGGAAGTTATGTTGAATTATCTTTATAAAAATGAGGTGATTAATTAATTCAAATAACGATTTAGAAGTTTCTGATTATTTTGAGAGTTTCTAAATTGTTAAAATGGAGCCTCTCTTGGAGCCCATAATTAGTAACACTAAGAAGGTAAATCCGTAAATGTTTTCATAGGTAAACAAGACTTCCTGACAGTTTATATATATGTAGAAGGTACATCGGCATTATTTAATGGTGATATATACTTATCGTTTCAGACTTCTAAAGAGCATGTGGTGCGATACACCATGCATGATCTGGTGCATGACTTGGTGAGATTGACGGTGGCTGACGAGTTAATAGTTTTTGATGTTGCACCAAGGAGAAATACACGTGCCCACAAATATTGTCGCTATTCATTGCTCAGAAAATATGATTGCAAAATGAAGATGGCAAATATGCCTTCAAAGATGAGGGCACTTCGTTTCTCATATACTGGCAAGCTACTGGATATCCCGAGTGGTGCATTTTCATTTGCAAAGTGCTTGCGCACTTTGGATTTCAGTGAATGCTCTGGCATATTCTTGCCAGCATCTATTGGCCAACCGAAGCAACTGAGGTGTCTTATCGCTCCAAGGGTGCAAAATGATAGTCTGCCAGAGTGTATCACTGAGCTATCTAAACTGCAGTACCTAAACATAAATGGATCTTCTCAGATTTCTTCACTGCCAGAATCAATTGGCAAGCTTGGACGTCTGAAACATCTATGTTTGTCTAGTTGTTCTGGTATAACAAAACTGCCGGAATCATTTGGTGACTTAAAATCTATGGTGCATCTTGACATGTCAGGTTGTGAAGGGATAAGAGAACTGCCAGACTCTATTGGTAATCTCATGAATTTGCAGCATCTTGACTTATCTAGATGCTTCAGTGTAAAAGGGATACCTGAACTGTTGTGTGGCCTCACACAACTCCAATATTTGAACTTATCATCTTGTGTATGTCTTGATCGGCTACCAGAAGGTATTGGCGGTCTCATGGATTTACAGTATTTAAACATGTCATCCTGTCGCCGAATCAGACAACTGCCAGAATCAGTGATGAAGCTACAAAATTTGTTGCATCTAGATCTGTCATACTGCAGCAGCATGCAACAACTGGGAGGTGTGCGTGGCCTCACCGCACTACAGCACCTGGACATGTCACAGTCACGGGAAGTTGGTCTTGAAGATTTGTCAGATGTTTTGGCAAACCTCACCAATCTCAAGCACTTGAGCTTAGTTAATTTAATCATAAGCAACTCGGAGGGAAGTGGTAGTAATGTCCTTGACTGGATCGGTGGCCTTACAAATCTGGAGCACCTGAATCTATCTTATAATTTTGGTTTAGCTTGTTTACCGGAAAGTATTGGTAACCTCAAAAGATTGCATACACTGGATCTTACGAGTTGTTCCAAGCTTGAGTCCCTACCAGAGAGTATAGGCGCTCTTGGGCTCAAGTCTTTAGTGCTGGACCGGTGCTCATATTATCTGATAAATCAGGCCAGTTCTCTGGTGCACTTTTCACAAACATTGCCTGACTTCACAGTTCGTGCGGATGATGTGAACGGTTGCAGCAATCTTCATATGCTCGAAGGAATCAATGTCAGTGAGTTAAGAATACGTCATCTCGGAAATGTAAGGTCTCTAGAAGAAGCAAGTAAAGTCAAGTTGTTGGACCTAGAAGAAGCAAGTAAAGTCAAGTTGTTGGACAAACATAATCTCTTGGAGTTAACGTTGTCCTGGACTGTGTCTGGGTTGTCTGGGTTATTGTTTCGACCACGTCTGGAGGACAAGGATTTGTTGGGACAGCTACTGCCACCAAGAGGACTTAAGCACATGTGTCTCGAAGGTTACAGCAGTACAATGTAAACAGAGTGGTAGGAGTAGGGGATTGGCAATCAATCCGGTAAGAATCAGAGGAAGAACAAGCACAGAATTGGGGAAGGTTGAGTTCTGAATCGAATAGCAGAGGAGTGCTTGTTTTACAAGTTGTTCATTATCATTCTTCTCCTCCCCTCTCTCTCTCCGATTACATATACTGAGATGACACGGCACTCTCGCCAGGTGATGGTCGGTCACTTCCACTCCGGCCCATGGACTCGTATGTTGGGCCTACGGTCACGCCCTCCTCGACGCGGCCTATGCTCGGCTTGAATGTCACCGTGAACATCAGGCTGGCCATCGTCGTTCCCGTTATCCTCCTGGGTTGCTGATGTAGTGGTACGGGTGCTGACATCCCCTCCCCGATAAGAGCCAGCTTGCCCCCAAGTAGGTGCTCGTGGAAAGCGCTGGCGCAGAGTCTCCATATCTTCCCAAGTGGCCAGAGAAGATGGCATGCCTGACGACTGGACGAGAGCTTGAAGACGAACATCGGCACCGACCTTGGCGATGCGTTTCTGCAGCACACGCTCAGGAACCTGCAAACCATCGAGTGAAGAGGGTAATGGTTGAGCAGTATGGGTTACCGGTACCGCCACCTTCAATTGAGAAACATGAAACACCGGATGGATGGAAGATGAATCTGGTAGCTTCAGCTTGTAAGCCACAGTTCCAATTTTGTCAGTGATCAGGAAAGGGCCGAAGAATCGATAAGCAAGCTTTTGATTGGCTCATGCTGCGACGGAACTCTGGACATAGGGTTGCAACTTGATGTAAACCCATGTACCCACGCTAAATGAACGTTCAGTGCGGTTATTGCCAGCTTGAGTCTTCATCCGGTTCTTGGCACGGCTAAGTTGGTGCTGTATCAGAGTCTGCATAGCTGATTTCTGCTGAGGCCAGTCATCAAGAGTATCAACTGAGTAGGCAGAGGTGGAATCAATACCGAGCTGCCTGGGAGACTGACCATACAAGGCTTAAAATGGAGATCTGTTAATTGCCGAATGCCAAGCTGTATTATACCAGTATTCTGTAAGATGGAGCCAATCAAACCACTTGCTCGGAGCAGCATTAGCAAAACAGCGGAGGAAGGTTTCCATGCATTGATTCACTTGTTCCATTTGTCCGTCAGACTGCGGATGGTATGCGGAACTAAGACGAAGGTCGACTCCTACCAAATGGAACAACTCACGCCAAAGCTGGCTAGTGAAGATTCGATCAGGATCTGACACTAAGGCTGTTGGAAGACCATGGAGACGATATATGTGCTGCATGAATATCTTAGCAACATATAGTGCACTGAATGGATGCTTCAAAGCGACAAAATGACTGTACTTGGAGAAGAGGTCAACCACTACTAAGATGCAATTGAATCCATGAGAAATTGGTAAACCCTCAACAAAGTCCAAGGATATAACCTGCCATGCAGCCGAAGGAGTTACCCGTGGCTGTAACAGTCCTAGATATTTGACTCGTTCAGGTTTGGCTTGCTGACATGTTGGGCAGCTCTGGACAAAGGCAGTAATAAGTTTCTTCATGTCGGGCCAAGCAAAAAGCGACTGGATGCGTTTGATGGTTGCTGGCGCGCCTGAATCAATTTCTGCTGCAAGGCAGGGTTGTTACCAACCCATATGCGTTGCTTGAACTTAAGTAGCCCCTTATCAATGGTGAAATTGGGTACGACATTAGGACTTGTGGTTAATTTAGCAAGCAAGGCAGTTGCATGGGAATCTTGCTGATACCCGAAGATGATTTCATCCAACCATTGCGGTGTAATCACAGAAATGGCACAACAGGTTTCCTCAGGATGTGCTCTGTGAGACAGAGAATCAGCGGCACTATTATCACATCCCTTTTTATAGATGATGTGGTACTGCAACCCCAATAACTTGGTGAATACCCGTTGCTGCCAAATTGTATTCAATCGCTGATCAATGAGGTGAATCAATGCTTTCTGATCAGTGTAGATGACAAACTCGGCCAACTGTAGGTAAGAGCGCCACTGATCCACTGCTATCAAGATGGCTAGATATTCTTTTTCATATGTTGAAAGGCCCTGATTCTTGGCGCCCAATGGCTTGCTAACATAAGCGAGTGGGTGGCCATTTTGCAACAGCACTGCCCCTACACCAGTCTGACAGGCGTCAGTCTCAATGGCAAAGACTTGTGAGAAGTCTGGAATCCCCAGAACTGGTGCTGAACAAAGAGCTTGCTTGAGAGTATCGAAAGCCAATTGATGTTCAGAGGTCCACACAAAAAAGGTGTGTTTCTTGAGCAAGTTAGTGAGTGGCTTCGCTATAACTGCAAAATTGCGGACAAACTTTCTGTAGAAGCCGGCGAGACCCAGGAACCCTCGTAGCTCACGAACGTTGGCTGGCTACGGCCACTCTTGAACCGCTGTAACCTTGGCAGGGTCGGTATGAACGCCGCCACCACTTAAAACATGGCCCAAATAGTGTATCTCTTGTTTGGCAAATTGGCACTTCTTGAGCTTGACAACCCGGTGGTCTTTGGCGAGGAGATCTAGCACTTGCTGTAAGTGTTGTAAATGTTCCTCATAGGAAGAGCTGTACACCAAAATGTCATAAAAAAATACAATGACGCACTTGGGTAGTAAAGGGCTGAGAGTGACATTCATGGCGACTTGGAAAGTTCCCGGTGCACCAGAGAGTCCAAAGGGAACCACAGTAAACTCATAATGCCTTGCATGTGTCGAGAAGGAAGTCTTATGTTCTTCACCTGATTGCAATCCTATCTAGTGGTAACCAGAGTATAAGTCCAAGATTGAAAACCATTTAGCGTGTCCAAGCTCATCCACTAACTGATGAAACACTAGGATTGGGTACACAGACTTGACTGTCAAGGCATTCAAGTAACGATAGTCAACACAGAAGCGCCATGAACCGTCCTTCTTCCTGACAAGTAGCACGGGTGAACAAAATGGTGAAGAGCTGGGTTGGATTAAGCCTTGAGCTAGCATACTCTGAACTTGTGTGTCAATTTCATCCTTCAGTTGGGGTGGGTATCGATAGGCTCGAATATTGACAGTTGTAGCACCACTGATTAGCGGTATAGCATGGTCACATGCGCGCTTGGGTGGTAAGCTGTCAGGCACCGTGAATACTTGTGAAAAAGCATCCAGAATATGCTGAATGTCTGATGGAAACACATCTGACTAAACTGAATTGGACTGCATCTCAACTGAAAGCAATTGGAAAACCATGTCAGCTGTAGATGTGGCGGAAAGCCCATGAAGCACCAACTGAGTACCATCACAAGGTATAGAGATCCATTTAGCCTTCCAGTGAATTTCCATTGGGCTGTATCGCTCGAGCTAGTCCATACCTAGAATCAGGTCGTAAGAGTCCAACTGAAGAATCTTTAAATCATGCTGGAATGGGTGACCCTGCAAAGAAAACTGACAGTCCAGAATAGCAGATGTGCAGCTCAAAATCTGTCCATTAGCAATTTTCACTGAAGCTTTCACAGGAACTCGAGCCAGCTGAGGCAACTGATCAGCAATGGAAGCAACCAGAAATGATGAAGAACTCCCAGAATCAATCAACATGACAACAGAAAGCCCATGAACAGTGCCGTGAAACCGATTAGTGCATTGGCCGTGGGATCCCATGCGAGCATCATGTGACAGGGCCAGAAGTAACTGCTCATCAGATTCATCAGTATCTTTAGAGGCTGGCTCAATATTGAAGAAATCCCAAACTTCTTGCATTGCTTGCAGTGAAACAATAGCAGCACATTTGTGTCCTCTCACCCATTTATCAGCGCAGACTTCACAGAGACCCCGGGCACGACGGTAGGCCCGAAGTGTTGAAAGCTTGTCATCTTGGCCCTTGGCAAGAGCCTTGTCACCCATCACCTTGTCAGCACCAGGCAGCTGCGGCTGTGCTAGTGCCGGTTTGTGCTATGGTCTGAACCCCATCCTGGTGGTGTCAGTCTTCGGAGTCGAAGCCGCCACTTCCTCCTGCAATAGAGCCAACGAGTACGCAGTATCGAGAGTAGAACGACGCTGCAATGTAACAACCATCCTGATATCATCCCGTAACCCATCCACGAAACGAGTGGTGAAGTAATGCATGTCAGGATTGGGTTGATAGGCTTTAAGCTGATCAAAGAGGGATGAAAAGCGATCGACATAGTCAGTGACAGTGGAAATTTGGCTTATATGGAACATTTGGCGCACAAGCTTGTCACGCTGATCACGGCCAAAGCGATCGTGGAGCATTTTGCAAAAATCAAGCCAGGGTAGGCGATCTGGTTGGGGAATGGACTCGATCCAACGACCGGCTGCTCCACGAAAATTCATGCAAGAAATTTTGACACACTGGCGCGGAGGTACTTCATACATGTCAAAGTAATCCTCAGCCTGAGATATCCATAGACGAGTAGTCTCCCCCTCATAGATGGGAAAATTTTGCTTGGGTAGTTTGCCGAGATTGGGTGGGTTAGGATCAGGAGGATGGCTACGAGTATGAACATCATAAGCTTCTCCATGAAACAGTGAAACCTTAGGTTTGGGCTCGGAATGCATACCATTGGCGGGGGAATGGGATTGGGAAGAATTTTCCCCAATACTATCTGCCCGTGGAGTCGTTTCGACGTGGTGCCCGCTGAGCCGAGCAGCCGTGAGATCCGCAGATGAACGCGCGGCGGTCTGCTCCAACGTCGAAGGTGGTTGGGAGATCAACCCTGTCAACGCCGTAACATTGTCGAGGAATGATCGATCCCAATATTTTGTGAGTTTGTCCACCTTCAGCTTGAGATCATCCATAGCACCTTTGGAGTCCTGGCGCCAGCTCTCCAGGGCGCCCGCGACCTTCATGACGCCAGAGACGCGGTCATCCTGACGCCGTTCAGCTTCGGTGATGAGGTTGTTTTGGCATAGCTCGGAGTAGGTGATGCGGCGTTCCCAGGAGAGGTCGGAGTCGGCGAGGCGCTTGTTGAGGGAGTCGTCGACCTCGGTTAGGCATTTG